CAGCCTCCTGAGTAGCTGGGATTACAGGCACGCGCCACCATGCCCAGCTAATTTTTTGTAGTTTTAGTAGAGACGGGGTTTTACCATGTTTACCAGGATGGTCTCGATCTCTTGACCTCGTGATCCACCCGCCTCGGCCTCCCAAAGTGCTGGGATTACAAGTGTGAGCCACTGCGCCCGGCCTATTTTCATATTTTTTATAGAGATAGGGTTTTACCATGTTGGCCAGGCTGGTCTTGAACTCCTGGCTCAAGCCATCTGCCCGCCTAAGCCTCCCAAAGTGCTGGGATTACAGGTGTGAGCCACTGCACCTGGCCCCAGCTAATAGTTTTTATTTTTGTAGAGATGGGATCTCACTATATTGCCTGGGCTGGTCTCAAACTGGGCTCAAGTTATCCTCCAGCCTTGGCCTCCCAAAGTGCTGGGATTATTGGCATGAGTCAGTGCACCCGGCTCTTTGTTTTCAACTATCTTGTTCCTCCTATAGGATCTTCACTTAGCTTCACCCATCTTGGGCTTTTTCTTTCTCCTCTCCCTTCTCTCATTGAGTCTAAGACGCCCCCCAAGGGTTGTGCTGTAAGCATTGTCAAATCTTTCCCCCACATCGTACATTCTTCTCCATGTGTTTTCTCTGTCAGGTGCTGGAAACGTGCATAGCAACAGTAGGTCGAGTATCCAACGTTGATCATAACAAACGGGTTATTGGCAAGGCAGGTCGCAACCGTTGGCTGGGCAAGAGGCCTAACAGTGGGCGATGGCACCGCAAGGGGGGCTGGGCTGGCCGAAAGATTCGGCCACTACCCCCCATGAAGAGTTATGTGAAGCTGCCTTCTGCTGCTGCCCAAAGCTGATATCCCTGTACTCTAATAAAATGCCCCACTCCTGTTTTTATGTTACTGTGTTTTGCGGGGGAGGGGATGGTACAGACTGAATGTGGGGAGAAGGAGCAAAAAGTGTCGGAGCAAGAGAGACAGGACGCTGGGTCTGCCCCCTCCCCAGTTCCCTTATAGGTAATGGAGCCCGGGGATGGAAATTAATGACGTCCAAGGCCTTTTCCAGTTTGACTTTGGGAAACGGGGAGGGCATTTCCGGCAGGAGGGAGGACAAAAAGGAAGAGGAAAGGGCGGCGCAGGGAAGGAGGTGCTGCGTCGCCAAGGTGGCACCCGCAGCTCCGCCCAGCGCTCTCCCGGGGCCTCTAGCTTTCCGCTGGGTCTGGCGGAAATGAGCCGTGGCTTTTGGCAGGCGGAGTCACTGGCAGGGACCAGGCCCCACCCTGCCCTAGTGGCTGCCGACCCACGCGGGCGCCGTCCTGTTCCGCAGAGGCACACCCCCTCCCGTCTCTCCGTCTGGATCCCCTCGCGGGGCCCGGGTGGGACCCAATTCGTCGCCAGCGTCTGTGCCGCGTCCCTTGCTCTGTGAAGGACAGGCCTCGCGCCAGGACCCCGGTGGACTTCTGAGGTGGCCAGAGCCCCGCCGCGGCCCTTTGCTCCTCCCCTGCCCACTTGGCCGTGGAGCCTCGCGCTCACCTGACCTCGGCCCCGCATCCCACCGTGTCTCTGGGTTCTAGTTTATGGGACTTAGGCCCTTTCCCCCACCTTATAGCGCACGCACCCCAGGCTTCTCGGGTCTCCAACCTCGTTCCCCCAAGCCCCGCGCCCCTCCCCTACCTGGTCTCCTGTGCACCCTGCCCTGGTCTCACAGCACCCCCACCAGCACTCTTGCTCCGGTTGCTCCAGTCAGAGGTGTCTCCAGCCCATCGCGCCTTGCCCTCACACTCCACCACCATTTCTCCGGTCTCTTATCTCTGCGACTCACACGCCCATGCTCCAATCCTAGAGACAACACACTTTTCCACACACACTCGCGATCTCCTTCCCAACCCACCCTCCCCCAAATCTCCTCTGGGCTTCACATGCCCCCAGGGTTGCTGCCTGTCCCAAAGTCTTGGGATTCACTTGTAACTCCAAGGCTGCCCTGCCCCCACTGACTGCCCACTATTCCAAACCCACCCACTCCAGGCCTCAGGGTCTTGGGAACCTTCCTTTTAGCCCCCCAATTTTGTGTTCTTTCACAACACAACCCCAGTGTTCTCTGCTTAGGCCTGCCCCCATCCAGCATGCAGCATGCAACTCCTGGGCCTGGCTTTACCACACCCTGCCCTCCAGCTGTTGCCATGTGCTTCCCTACCTCCTGGTTGTCTGATTTTCTGACCTCTCCTTACTCTAGCTTGTCTGTTCTCTCTTCCTTGTGTGCTCCAGGTGCCAGGATGGTGGGGGAACTCCGCTACAGGGAATTCAGGGTGCCCCTGGGGCCTGGCTTACATGCCTATCCTGATGAGCTGATCCGCCAGCGAGTGGGCCATGATGGGCATCCTGAGTACCAGATCCGCTGGCTCATCCTGCGGCGTGGCGATGATGGGGACGGGGGATCTGGCCAAGTGGACTGCAAGGCTGAACATATCCTGCTGTGGATGTCTAAGGATGAGATCTATGCCAACTGCCACAAGATGCTGGGCGAGGATGGCCAGGTCATCGGGCCCTCCCAGTCTGCAGGGGAGGTTGGGGTCCTGGACAAATCTGTACTGGAGGAGATGGAAACCGATGTGAAGTCCCTCATTCAGAGAGCCCTTCGGCAGCTGGAGGAGTGTGTGGGCACCATCCCTCCTGCTCCTCTACTTCACACTGTCCACGTGCTCAGTGCCTATGCCAGCATCGAGCCCCTCACTGGGGTGTTCAAGGACCCAAGGGTCCTGGACTTGCTCATGCACATGTTGAGTAGTCCCGATTATCAGATTCGCTGGAGCGCAGGCCGGATGATACAAGCCCTGTCCTCCCATGATGCTGGTGAGGGGCAGTGTGGGGAGGAAGGGAAAGCAGAAGGGCTGGGTCGGCTCAGGGACTCACAGGACACTGTGGCAGGAGCCTCTGATCTCATCAGTACGTAAATGATTCTGTTGCCCTTCTCTCAGAGTTGGAAGAAATGGAGGTGGGAATGGGGGTGAGGGCGGGGGGTATCTGCCAAAAGAGGAAACACTATTTTCAAAAACCTCATATTAATTAGTTACTTTTTATACAAAGGAAGAATTTAGACTATTACAGATTGTGTGTGTCTATATAAGCTAGCAAATTTTAA